TACGTCCGTGCTTCAGCCGTGTAAACCGGTGTGGCAGTCTCAGCTGTCTCCCGGTCTCAGCGGTCCCCTTTACCAAATATGGTAAAATACGTCATGCCATCTCTGCGCACAACAACGGTAAAGTTGTCCATTTAATGTCCGGCTATTCAGGGGGACCGCTGAGACCGGGAGACAGTTGAGACCGGCAAGCGGGGCCTCCAGCGGTAGGGAGTTCTGCGTAAACCCAGGTGTGTTCGCTGGAATGGTACAGGGCCGTCTCGTGGGTATATGTGATTGCGAAAACCTTTAGAAATGTGAGTATGGTTGAATGAATTCCAGGTTGTCACCCATTCATGGACTGTTATCAGTTGAGAATTATGACCTTTCATTGACGCCCACGGAAATATTACTTTACAAAAATAAAAACATGGATAAGGAAACGATGGCACATAAAACAAGTTTCGAAATGTTGAGGAAGGTATCGCGTTTCCTTTACAAGACAGCGGTACTACGCCAAATTATGGTTGTTTACGGCGATCCTGTGTTATGAACAGCATATTTTAATGGATTCGTCAATTTGGCCCCCGTATTGAGCATAAAACGGGTCTCACTAGTGCCTTGGAAAATGTCTGGTGTACACTGTAATCTGCTCCATCAAGCATGTGCCTTGAACTTCAAAGATCCTCTGGAGAGACCTCAATGCAATTAGGAAAGAATCGTTGCGTGTTGCCAAATTCAATATCCCGTACTTTGATGCTTGCACTTCAAGAGAAGTAAATGAAAAGTAACGGGCGTGCTATACCATACTTGCACACTGAAGTTGCACTCTGAAGTTAACCCCCTCAAGCTAAGTGGAACGGGTGGCCAATGCCAATTGGTAAAAATAGCAATTAGAAAGACGAGTATATATCCACATTATACGAGTATTCTGAAGCTCAATCTGACCCTTGTACCTTCGCGTACACAAATAAAGAACTTGCTATCATTCAATAAACTCACTCATGTACAGCTGACATTTCCAAACGCCCTCTTCCCAGATTTCGCGGTACACAATTGGAATGTCAATAAAAACATTCACGTGCGGGCGGTGCGGGAAGTAGGCCTAATGATTGCACACACACAATAGACTGAATAGAATTTCTTGAAACACGTTGAACTATACCCTGGTTGTAATTTCATGTCAGAGTTTGGTAAACCCAGAATTTCTCGGTGTGGTCGCCGCCCCCAGTCTGTAACCCGTTCTGCTACGCCATGTGCTCCCGTCACCGCCCTCGCAAAATACACAAAGGTCATGTGGATGTTATAAAATGAGTAGGGATTCCGATAGAACACGTAGCTAAACGCACGACAGTCAGTTGCAAAAAGTTTAAGACCACCTGGGCCTGCATTACATTGTCTCATTGAATGAATACTTGACGTATCTTTGAACTGGTGCATAGCGTCCGTGAAATGCTACCCATTTGAATGATATTTTTGCAAAGGCAGATCAAGTTGTATGACATTTTGTCTGTAAGGCAGCATGGGTAAAAAAAGGCCAGTCTAAGCAATCAGAAATAAAGGAAGGCATACTAATGGCTGTTAACATTTCAAATCATGGAAATGGTCAAATAGCTGTTTAACCTGTTTTACTTAGGTTACACTTTGAAATTAAACATAAGTTGCCATGATTGATCAGTTTAAGTCTGTTTTTTCTTCAGGTTTACGCATTTTGTATGGGTGGTCCTAAACTTTTGCAAATGACTGTATAGTGCAGAGTGCATTTTGCTTGTAATGTGGACACACGGCTAGCATGTGTTTACCCCGGGCACCTGAATCACCAGACATATTAGCAGTGAAAAAAACGATCATCTCAACATCATCAGCCTAATTCCAATGTGGCAATCGATTTCTTTGCAATCAGAATTCACAATCGAAAATCCCGTCAACTGTGGATCGATGTTATAACCCCTTACTGAGTACACAGATATATAGTTCAGTTCAAGGGCGGGTAATAAGGACACACCTGTCGTTAGGCATGCCTGGTTGCCTCGATACGTTCAAAGTTCAAGCCCGACGTTGCTGAAACCGTGGAGGTTTTAAAAAAATCCATCGCCTCGTCTAAGTATGATTAGGTTTTCCACCTTTTCCTTTGGCAAGTAATATTGCCCATATTTGTTTTAATCTTCATATGGCGTGTCTTTGAGGAGGGGGCCATGTTTGGCTTAGTCATATCCTACCTCTGTTCCCATCTATACCACAGCTTCCCTAAAAGAATGCACGTCTGCCAAAACATACTCGTGAATTAGAAAATTTCCAAGTATGATCAGTGCTTAAACAATGTATGAAGTTTCAAAAGAACATATTTTTTGTTAAATGCTCAGTGTTGAGCGTAACTTAATCATTTGTCTGACAATGTGGGCCTATACATACATGCATGCCATTAATTATGTTAATCCATCCTAAAAAAAAAGAGAAGCCCTTTGATAAGGTTTGCTGATAACCGCACAACGGATGCCCTGCAAATCGTCTCGCTCTTGATAAGAGCGGACTTCATCGAACTCACCGCAGACGGAAAGCCCCTGGTTGCAAATAACGCCCCGGCATTGTTCAGTCTGATTCCGCGGAATCACATTCCACGACTTGATTCCGGAAACCGTCCGTGGTCGCGCTTCCGCTTATTTTTGCACACAGGTGGTTTTTTTTTTCTGGTTGGGATTTTTTGTACAAGAAGCAGAACGTGGCCAACGAGGCGATTACACAGGATGTCAAGCTTCAGTGCTACTGAACGCTCGTGTTTTTTCCCTCAATCGATTACGCCGGTAGCGCATGAGTTGGATCCCCCCCCCGTCTGGTGACGTCATACACCCAGGGTATTTGCCTTCATCTAGACTGCACACTGGCCGTCGCGTAGTGCCACGCCCAGAAATCCGCCCCAGTCGCTGCCTGGTTTCGCGGTAGCTTCACTGTCTTGTAAAATAAATGCCAGCTAAGTCACGAAGGCCTTGGCGAATTAGGCTACTGGAGGCGTGTTTGCACTGTTAATGTGCGTGGGCCGGGAGCGCAGGGTGTTATCCACGCACAATGGGACGCTAAAATTCCGACGTTTTACACAAAAATGAGATGTTCTAAATATAGTGAAGGAAAGTGATATTAACCAGGTTGTGAGTACCGATGATAAATAATTTTTCCGGTCATATGGAAAGACGACGCGAAGTGACACTAACGGCGGGTCAAAGGGGGACAACGGAGGCCACCCCGCAAGTCTTTTTAAAATTAATGACAGAAAAGCGACATTCTTTGATTTGTTTCATTTCTCTTCCTTCCAAAAGCATGTATAAAACTAAAAATGCAGCCTCAACCTCGAAAAAGGCCATAAAAGGTAAAAATTCATTTCCCAATTTCGTGCCCCCCTCCGAAAGAACAATCCCCCGAAACTTTGGTTCTCAACACGCCTCCAAATAAGTTGGCTGTCTGTAGGCCTACACTGAGTTTACGAACTGTTGCAATTTTCAAGTTAGTGATTCTGTTTGTAACTTTGAAAAGGTCATAAAAGGCGGGAATTCTCTTTCACGTGTGTACTTTTCAGGCCAACTTTAAGCGCTCATTTTGAGGCACCATTCATTAACGTCGTCTATCGTCATCGATTACGATGTTGTTCTTTAGTATCTGTGTTTTAATCTCTATCTTGTTCTGGGCATTTAGTTTTAATGCTTGGCAGACGGTTTGAAGCAATTTCGTCTTTACTAATTGAGCATTTTGATTGGATGAAAGTTTGAGCGTCCTGCGCGTAGACAGTTTCACCTATTGTGATTACACCAAAATAAAATAGTCCAGAAATGAATTACTTTTAGTTGAAAGTATTGTGGCTTAAAGACTGAAGAAAAGGAAGAAAAAAATGAGTCTATTTCAACTTTTATTAGATCACACAGTTTTACACTTGGGTCTATTTATCCATGGGAAATAACTCGTCCCTGGCGGATGCATTATAGGCGTGATATGTAGGCAATTTTTAATTTACCGAGTGACGCGGGACGCACGTAGGCCTGCGCCTATTTATTTACGTTACGTTTGTAAGGCTTTAAGTCTACTTTGGGCCTACTACCGCTACATGTAGCTCAGCCCATTGAGGTAGGAAAAGCAGCCGAAGTAATTTTTGTTTAGTTTTCTGCAATCAAAGCGCAGAGTATAAGATTCTGAGTGCCGACAAAGTTTGTTGGTGCTTATCTGGTCATCTGGTAAGTACTCTTCATGGCAAGTTCAGGTTTGTTTTGTGTAGGACCTCGACCATTTTGACATGCCATGGAGGTCGGAGCACTGTAGCGTTAATGGCAGTGGTAGCGCCCATACTTTGTACGGTGCAGCTAACATTGCATGCCAGGCGCGATGATGAAGCGGTCCGTAGCTGACAAGTCAAAAGATTAGGGTCGGCCGGTCGCGGTCTGAACTCAGACGTGTAGTGCTGTCAACTCTAAACAATTTCAGGTGAGCATAGTCCTCAGCCTTTGCAAATTGGAGGAAATTTGAAGACTGTCGGGGCTCGCCTCAGGAGAACAAAGCATGTTTGGCTTTGGCGTATCGAGCTGGGGGATTGATATCACATGTGCTGTCATGGCGCTCAGTGCAGCCGGGATTGTCGCAGTCAGGTGAGATGGTGGCCAGGGCCAAGGACTACGTACTCTTAATCTTATGGATCAATTCTATATTACTGAACTTTGTGGGGTCAGTTTTGGGTACCTTTCCAAAATTTATGCATGCAAAAGGGCTAGCATGGCAAGGCCTAGGCCCTAGTTATTTGTTTGCAGCAGTGTCGATGATGGGATGGTGGAAGCCTGTTTCTTCTTGGGGGGGGGATCACCATGATGGCTGAGCCTGGGAGTGGGCCCGGGCTGACTGTCTGTTTTCCTTCCTCCATGCACTAGGTGAGGGTAGGGAGGAGCATGCCTAGGCCATATGACTTGTCACTTTGAGTATGATGTTGCTAGGCCTACCTTCACCATGGCTGGGGAGGGGGTGACGAACCTCAAATCTCATCTAAGCTAATTCAAAGCAGTTTGGTTCATTCCCGGGAAACGGTTCCTGATGTGGACGCCACTTGACACCCTGTACACAAACCCTATGAGACTGCCCTGAAAAATTCTAAGTGTTTACTCAATAAACCACTTGGTATTTTCCCTCCTAAATTGAAATTTTCTGGACATGAATTTGCTTTCTGATGGCTAAGTAATAGACCCCCTGCATATAACGTCACGTTAGAGGGCATTTCTTTCTTCTTCTAGGATAGGCTCAAGTAAACTTTTTGTGCATCCATTGTGATTAAATTAAAATAACAGAGTAGCCTCTGACTCTACCTGCATGGGTCTATATAGGTCACTGTAGAGAATAACTGACATCCGTTTATGGGTAATTTCAGAAATAAAGGGTCCAAAAGTGTGACATATTGTGTCCGTGTTACATCTGACCTTTGTTATTTGACATGGAAATATCACCGGAATTGATTTCAAACTGTTACTATTTATTTGGCAGGTAATTTGCATTAGTTCATCACTCTTGGAAATTAGAAAATTTGTTCTGAACTTACAAAATCATATGTCAGATGTGACAGAAACACCAAAAAAATGGACCCCTAATATCTGGAATTTGTACCCATATGGAACTTTTTCACACTCCTGTGCTAAAATACGTTAAACAGGGATTCAATTACATGGGTTCATGCACGCGATTCAATCTTAAATAGGCGAAGGCCTATAACCTGGCCCGGAAAAGTAGTCCAGGTAACTAGCACACTTTAAATCACCCGTCCAAATGTTAAAAGAGGCAATTCGTAGGGTCGCAGTAACTCTGATTTACATGTATACTTTACTGGAAATGCACCTTTGAGTTTCAATAAACCAATTTCAATTGTTTGTGTTGCTATTTTACAGGGTTTTTGGGTGCATTTCTGGATTTATGCAGACACAGGTTTCCAAACTCATGAGCAAAATTGTGGTACTGGAATTTTTGTATTTTTCTGGCTAAAATTTCTTTGTCTTTGCAGAGTCAATTGCAGCCCTTTCTTCAGATTTTTTTTCCAGTGGGCATGTTTAGGGTTTTCTGTTTCAGACAAACGAAACCCATGATATGAACAGTGTCTTCCTTGATTGAAATCACATTGGCAGTGCCCTCCATTGTCAGAAAAATTTTGGAAATCTCATTTCATCAGAACCAAAAAGGGAGGTCAAATAATTTTCATACAAGAGCAGTATAAAGTTGAGCAAAAAAATGTGTGCAAGAAAAATTCATAGCTAAGACCATTTAAACTGTATCGTGGGTAAAAGAATTTGTTTCAAGACCAAAGAAAGAAGTTTTCTATAAATTGGTGTCATGTAGACACAAATATTCGGAAGGCATGCAGTATTTTGTATGAAACTTGACCCAGAACTGTTGCACTCACTGTATGCATTGCTAAGAATGAAGTGAAATGTCATGGTGACTTTGGAGTGCAAAAAAATTCCGTCAACCACACGCATATGCGGTATGTTTGTTAATACAGCCTTAGTAATCAACACAGAGTTATATTTTAATAAGCCTTTTGCTGGTCACCTTTGAATAAAATCTGGTACACTGAGTTCTTTAAATTCAGGGGTACATAACAATTTCAATTCCCCAGACTAAAGATGCTGTTGCTACATGTATACCTCGTGATTTGGGGCAAGCTTTGCTAAGCCTTGCAACAATACACTATTCCCAACGGATAAGAAGGGCACAAAGGAACCAGTCCATTCGAGAGATGCTGGTCACTATGCAAAAGCTTGCCCGGATTCACGAGGTATAGCAACAGCATCTTTAGTCTCGGGAAATAAATTTTTTATGTTTGTGTGCTATCAAATAACTCAGTGTACCAGATTGTATTCAAATGTAACTCCCAAATGGCTTATTCACAGCCTATACTGGTATGCTTTCCCTTTTGCTTGTGCTGTCAATACCACAGTGCAGAGAGTCAAGATGTCCCACGATGACTTGAATGCCCACGGTGGGTCGCATGGCCACTTCGACAGCAGTGATCACCCACATGACAAACGGCGGCTGAGTCTTCATCCCCGAATGCGAATGCAGAGGAAGAGCTTGGTTGGGGCTGTACAGGCAGAAACGCTCAAGGAAAGACAGGTACGCATCTTGGCCGATCTCCCCCTTGCAGGAGCCAGAGATTGCATGTTTTTGTACGGTGCAATTCAGCAACCAGTTGAAGCCATCACAGGTGGTGGAAGATTGCTCGTGGGCAGGTGGTACACATGCCTGTCATGCCTCTTTAACCAATAGATTGTCCTGATTTGCCAAAACATGCACCTCAGGCTCATAAGAATGCATGTGTTAATGTGGTACCACTGCAGTTATGGCGTCTCCTCAGATTAGTGAATAGCAGGAACTCCCACTTACCGGGGTTGACTGCATGTTATGATATGCTCATAGGCTCTTGCCGCTTTGGTGCAGGCCATGCTGCATACATGCATGACCAGGAAAGCACAGCCTTTGGAGTAAGTTTTTCCAGGCACTCGGCTCTGAATGAAATGGTTCCCCACCAAACCTCTCTCTTCGTTGCCAGTGAGTGGATATGCTCCGTGCAGCCCCCTTAACCAGTATAACACAAGGGGCAGGTGGGACAACTGTATTAACTGGATGGTGTCTCAGTAGTGCCCTCACAAAGAGTCGGCATTCATTTACCCCCAGGCTCGCTTTTTCAAGGATGCAACCTCAGTCCTTTTAAATCCTCCGGTTGCCTCCACGACAAAAACTTCATAAAGCCGCCATCCTCCACAGTTTTTCAGTATTTCTTGCATGCGCTCCTGGGAGGGTTGACCGCTGCTTCAATCCTCCAAAATCCATGAGCAGTTTCAGTCATGTTGAGGCGGGTGTATGATATCTGGGAACAGTGTGTAGATGATATCAGATATAATCCAACTCTGAATTTGTGCATGGCTGTGCATCAACAACACAAGGTCTAGCCCAAGACCATGGCACAATGAATCCTTCCCAATCAACTACACCTGTTAGGCCTTTCACATGGAGGGAATGAAAGGTTGTATATGTTATTACAGTTTTTAATGTATAAAAGCTGGTCCCAGAAAGTAGCAATAGGTTTTTGTGCCAATTTATTAAAAAGCAAAGTTATTGCTCTGTGTACATATGTATGGCATCAGACCCCCCCCTCCCTGTATGCAAAGTGTTGATTCCACATCCACCCCCCTTTTTTTTCCTCAAGTATGACCAGATAATTGGAAGGGTGCAAGAAACGACAGACAGGGTGTATAATATTAGACTATCTGAGATATGGTGGACACAGTTGGGGGCAATATTTGGTTTGGTTAAAGTTTTGTGTGAATATTGATTCCAAAGTTACCCCCGTGAAATAGCACCCTCCTATTGTGTCGGCCACGCTTTGAAAAGGCCAACTGGGCTGTGTTTCTCACAGAATGGTTCAATGTGCACACTGAACATATTCTACCTTTGCAGATGTCCATTTTGTTTGTTTCATTTTGCTATCTGGCGAGAAATCCAAGTGTTCTTCAAACGTGCAAAGTCACTCAAAGTCCTGAATAAAACCAGACAGCCTTAGGACAACGAATAATTTTGCATTGTAGATAGAGGTGGGAGGATAATCCTGGAATGGGACTGGAAAATGTAATCCCCTCATTGGCCTGGGTGGGATTCGAACCCCGATCACACAGTTGCAAGGCCAGAATATTGCCAGTGTGCCAACCTAGTGTCCTGACTGTTTCCATAGCACTTGTTTGCTTTTCATTCCTGTTCCTGGTAGAATGCGCTGTACAGTTCATGATTTTATCTTTGGACATTTGTCTATAGGCTCGAGCCAAAGATACCCGTGAGATGCGTCGTGCCCGCATCACCCCTCTCCACAAGCACATCATGGAGATCATCCAGATGCATACTAGTCTAGACATACCAGCCATTGAAGAACATGTGCTGGACTCCTCTGAGGTAAGCCCTGCAGCGTCAGACAGCATTTCCCACTCATCTCTTGGCAGATACCTTGAAAGAGGTCACAGTAGTGATGGCAGTGGGAATTTCACTTTGCAATATGTTGGTAGTGTTTATCCACTCCGAACAAGAGAGGGCATGCTTTTACAAAAGCGTGTGAGCGTGTGAGCTCAGTTTTTATGTGTGTTTGACACGGGACGTGCTGAGCACAAAAGTGGTATTATGGCCAGTGTATGTCCCCACAACTATGGAACAAGTGTGCATGGTCTTTGCATAATGTTAAGGCTATGCCAAATATCCGAATAACCGAATATTCGATCGATTGTCGAATATTTGAACATTATTTTTTAAATTTGAATATTCGAATGAAAAATTCAGGAAACGAAGGGAAAATTTTGAGAAACATTACACTTTGGATCAGGCTTGTTTCAAGCAGATTCAAATGAAAAGCTTCAGAAATCTTACAACGATTTAAAAAGTAAATTAGTCATGAAACAATTTAAAAGGAATAGAAATTTTCGAGAGGGCTATAAGTCTTGTTCATCTCTCAAATCTTGCCAAATCGTGGCTGGAGATACTCCTAGATGTGAGAAGTATTATATTGATTGCAATGTACAGATGTGTGTGTTATTGCAACTGATTTTATATATGGTTTGTTCATCAGCAATCTGGTGGTCGGTATGACCAAGTTTTCGGATATTCGATCAAATTGAAGGTCGACTATTCAAATAGTGAATGATTCGAATTGACCCAGCCCTACATAATGTGCCACTTGTGTACAAGCGAGCCTGAGTGAGAAGCTTCCCACCAGTCTTTCAATTCTTTGTCAGTGTCGAGGCAGTGGGGTGCACTTCAGCGTGGGGTGGGATAGATTGCCTGTGAGAGAAGAACCTACTGTACGCATTGCAGGGTGAACAGATTTTTGCGATCTGTTTGCGCTGTTGCAGATGAGATGTGTTCATTATGTTTCTGATTTCTCCAGCAATTGGACCTGTTTGACCGATTCTTTGAGAAAGATGGCTCCAGATCGCTGATGTTTTTCTTGCAAGATGGCGACGCCCCTAGCCATGGTGAGATGTCAGACCTGTACATGTTATGTAGGTCACTGTGTTCTAGTCAAGTCCATCATAAGTCAACCATGACTCACTTTGCCACAAACTAAGGCAGTGTCCGAAACTGGCTTACAGAGCTACGGCTAGGTCTATTGTCTACGCATCTCCACGCATTTTAATGGAGCAAAGACCTAGACCTAGCTCTAGACAAGAGATTCGGATGCAGCCTAAAACAAAGGTGAATTAATAGATACAATGGAAGGCATTTGTCATTGTTGAGTTGAATAGCTGGAGATGTGGTGACTTGTGTGGACTTGTGATTGCTAATATTTTAGTAAGTATTTTGATAATAAATATTCTCTTTTGAAAAGAAAAAATTGAAAAGTTTGTATTATGTGGTGAGAATAGTGTTGATTTTGTGGTACGTAAGCTGGTTTTTACATGCAATTGAATTTGTCCCTTGTTTTTAAAGGACATGATGGTCCATGATGGATGAAGCAGTCATTGCCAAGATCAGTATTAAGTGCCTTACCCATAGCCTTTATTTGGGCAAGCTGCCTGTGGGGAAAAAAAAAAAGAACTTTCATGTTAAGAGTTTGAGCTTCCAATGACCTGTCTGAGGGACTGCTTGAGATGTCAGACATGGTCAGGTTAAATACTGCCCTCTATTGACCCCATCAAGAAAACATTGCAGGAATCAGTTTGCAGACTTGCACAGATGCAGACAACAGTTTGAATAATGCAGTTCAAGGTGAAGTGAATATTGGAATAATGTGATTTCAAATGACTGAAAATAAAAGATGAAAGTAATAAGTACCTGTGTGTGTCTCAGCTGATAACTCTGGGCTACGTGTAATATCTGTTCTATGATCAAACCACACAGTGTACCACTGACATTATCTCATGCACAAAGTACAGGGCATGTACAGAAGCATTTGAGGCAGTGGCCTCAATTCCCATTGAAACATTCCCGTAGCCAAGTTGATTTTCCGATACAGATTCCCTTTGCCAAGGAGAAATTGCCTTGCTCCGCCTAGAACCCTTCAGTTCCCGACCTGAAAATAAATGTACGACATTTTGTGGCATGGTAAAACTTTTACATTTGTAGCAGGTGTGTTCGAGGATGTCACTTGCCCCCTCTTCGAGAAATGATGTTTTACCACGACTGCATTTAGTTTTATCATTGAGTATACATGAATGACATTGTGTGAAAGTTCATATTTACACTGAATTTGTATATTGTATGCACTGCCTCCCTAGCTTCTGTGGTGTTCATTACAACCAGCTCACTGCTGAAATGGAACATTTTTTTTAAACTGGTGTTGTGGTCTAGTCCATCCACACGGCCTTTCACAAGTCAAGTCACAAGTCCTCTCACAAGTCCAGTCACAAGACCAGTTACGCTGTAAAACACTGGAAACAGTCACAGTGAATGTTTCTGTCACAGTTCACTCCGGTTACTTGGCTTCAGAGTGGATGACTTGCTGTGGACTTCTGATGGACTTACAGGGACCTGTGGTGGGCTCAGCCACACCACTGACCTTACCTTGGTTTTATTTGTGCAGATTCTGGCCGCATCGTGACGCTGCCTAAAGGCGGTAAGATGCAGCGGTTGTTTGTTACCAGTGGCCTGGAGGAAGGTCTGACTGGCCAGTGTATCTTCTTCTTACGGAGCAAGACGGATCAGGCCCTCACCCAGCGTAACCTCCATGAGGTCAGTGCATTGTCAAATACAGATATTGTGCACTGTTTCCTTGTAAATTTCTCAGCCATTGTACATAATTCTCAGTTGTGTGTTTGTCATGTATGGAATGTGCAATTCTATGTCAGTGTTTAGAAAAATTTCAAGTTTTTGATCTTCACTGATGTTCTTCTAAAGGGATGTTTTTCCCTCCGGGTCTCCATTATTTAGACTATGTACATGTACTAGTCATTTGTGATAAAAGCGTTAAATATTTTCTTGACACAGTGTCATCTATGATTGCTCATCTTGTTTTACCTTTTTTTTTGCCGATTGCCATTCTTGATGAATCTAACCTGTTCATGTTGTTTTAATTAAATAATGCAGTTTTCATGCTTCTGAGAAGAATGTTTATTTTTGCTGCATTTTCTAAATTGCCAAAGCACATTTCAACAAGCAAGGCTGTTAGAATTTACTTTGTCAGTGATTGACAACTCTTTTTATGGCTTGAAATTGTGAATATTCTCAATTGCATTAATTGGTAACTGATTTCTGTTAATATCTTTCTTTACGGCCGTTTCACAATAGTGCGCCACCAAGAGTTTGCAACACGTTGGCCAATCATAACGCGCGAATTTTTTTACCTTTTCCAAACATGCATTGGGTTGACAAATTTCGTGCATTGTGATTGGCCAACGCATTGCAAACTCTTGGTGGCGCACTATTGTGAAACGGCCGTATTTGTTCTAATTGTTTTTTTGAGTAGCAAACTGAAGAATGTTGACTCACAGCTTTATAACAAGTTCAAGGTAATTTTAATCCCACATCTTTTTCCTGGTTTAGTTCTGGTTCAGTTCCTATTAATATCTAAAAACAAACTTGTAATTCCGTGTTTTAGGCAGAATTGAAGCGGTCATCTGAGGTGAGTTTACAAGTAGGGCATACCTTTACATTTGTTATCACTGACATATTTATGCATTCAAGAACTTTCTGGAGTTGAAACTTCTTGGGCCTATAGGCACCTCGCCCATAGAAAATAATTCATGTTTATATGCACACAGGAGATATTTCAGACTTTGTTTGAATTCAGACTTTTGAGTCTGATTGAAAGCATTGCCGGTATAGGAAGAAATGCATCTTACCGACTTTTTATACGCAATGTCAGAATTTTTTTTAGGACAGATGACAATCTCATCCATGTATATTCAAGAAACTATGCAGGGATGACAAAGGAACTACCTGATCATGTTTGAATTGTTCTTGAAACCAAATTAGGAGATGAACTATGGATTCTTTGACGCGTCTGGATCTGGTAGGCTGAGCGTCCTGCCTGGCATCCAGCAGGTACTCAGCAAGGTCTTCAAGCCCGCTGTCCACGCCCTGGCAAACTGGGGAGCTCTCGGGGAGACACCGCACGGCAAGAAGACGCAGAAGAAGTTCCTGGATTCCTTCGATGGCTTCATGCAGTATGTCGGAAGTAGGTTTTTGTACTCTGTCTTGAGTACTGTAATATAGGCCCTCTTGTTCAAGGGGTAAAATGAATGCGCGTTGCCAGGCATGAGCGCATTTTGGAATGAACATGATAACATGGCCGTCGGTGCTCTCCCATTTGGCCGTGGTGCCTCCAAAAAGTAATCGTGTTTCACCGCCAAGATGGTAGTGCCCTTTTTTTCTCTTGGCTGTAGTGCCCTACACGTACATGCATATTGACTGCCCCCGTTCAGCGAGGTACACGGACAGCGGCATGGAAAGCAGCGTACACATCATTCCATGATCGTTCACATTCGACCGGAACACCACGCCGCACCACCCAAATGCATGGCATGCATGCATATGCAGTGCGTGCGTGCACTGTGTGTACGTGGGGATATCGTACATATACCTTCAGCCCACCGTGCACCGGCGGCCGAGCCCAGCCTTGCCCGCACCATGCACACTGCACGATCGCAAGTGCGGCACAGTCAGTGTTGCTAGGGAACACCTGCCGGCCTATCCAACGATTTAACATAACAGCCCATGCCCAAGCCAAGCATTTAATGTACCATGCAGTAATGTTGGTCTAAAGCTAAGTACTCATCAACGTGTACGCGTGAACGGTATATCGAGAGCTCTACGTTTTTCATGCACACTGGACAATTGTATGGTCGTGGCAGTATTTTAAGTAACACGGCAATGTAGTGTTTGCAGTTTAGTTCCACGCACTGCTCATGATCCGAAGTGCACATATGCAACATCAATCGGGACTACCCTGATTCTCACTCAAATACGTTGTGTGCAAAATCACTCAGTTGACTGGCCAGTTTTTGTGGTAGGCAAAATGCCGAAGAGAGAACGGCTAAAGTCAAAATGGGCCGAAGCCTTTCAACACTCGGCTGCTGGTTCAGCACTAATCACGGCCATGTTCAGGTATAATGCGTAGGCCCTATCCTACGTTTTCTTAGACCAGGCTGAACGAATATTGATGTTCATGCAAAAATGTCGGGATGGCATTAATGGCCAGAACTTTGGTTCGCTGATGGCTGTAATGGCCAGAACTTTGGTACGCTGATGGCTTTAATGGCCAGAACTTTGGTACGCTGATGGCTTTAATGGCCAGAACTTTGGTACGCTGATGGCTTTAATGGCCAGAACTTTGGTTCGCTGATGGCTTTAATGGCCAGAACTTTGGTTTGCTGATGGCTGTAATGGCCAGAACTTTGGTACGCTGATGGCTTTAATGGCCAGAACTTTGGTACGCTGATGGCTTTAATGGCCAGAACTTTGGTTCGCTGATGGCTTTAATGCTCTCACGTTTGGCATTAGTGCCCTTTATTTCAGCCTGTCCACTAATGCCTAATGGCAGCGCTCTAAAAAAAATGAAATTTGAGGCCTGGAGAGAGTTATTTGTGGTTAATTAACCGAGAGGCCTTTGATCATTAAGTTATATTATTGCTAAACATGTAAATATGATGAGTGCCTTTGATAAAAGAGTTACAGTTGTGGACAATGATGGTCTTTGAATTTAGGTGTCATTTAGTTTGCCGTCAAAAGAACTGACAACCAAATTTGTCTTCTGTAATTCATTATCGTAACAGGTGCACAGACCAATGTTTCAGGTGCCATCCAGCTCCGCGACTGTGAAACCGTTGACATTGACAGCCTGCACACTGCAGCAGACTGCATCCTGGCAGCAGCCAACCCCGAGATCGTGGACGCCTTTGATGAGCTGGTCACCTTCTGGTGTAAGGACATCGAACAGGTAACCCCACCAAGCCAGCTTTTTGAAAATAGTGTCCGGCCCTCGCTTACATGCTGCAGCTACCCCTTTCCTACATGTGTAGCGGTCAGCGTGCTCTGACTATCGTCAAGAGAATATGGCTCCTAGTTAAAAACTCAGAGCATGCTCCCGGTGCAATCATGCATATGCGGAGAGTGTCAGGTTGTGTTGTCTGTGAAGAGTTTTGTTTTGGTAGGGCTGCATTTTGATAGATCACAGCTGGTTGACATATTTGTTGATCATTGCGTTGGAAGTAGTTAACAGAGCAGCTTAACTTGAGAACTGGTTGAGTTCAGAAAATATTTGTTGTAGAAAAAAAAAAACAACAGGTTTCCAGTAAAAAAGCTGCGGTGTGCTTATTTTTGCTTATAATACATGATAAGTCTGCTAAGCAAGATTTTCTGTTAAACAGTTCCAAGTGGTCTTCAGTGGAGTTGAGGCTGGTATCATAGTTACCTTCTGATCATTTGTCGCTCATTCGTCCCAGGTCTTGGCCGAGAGTGAACAAATGAGGAAGGAAGCAGACGACACCGGACCGCTGGCCGAACTGGAGCATTGGAGGCTGCTGACCGCCAGGTTCAACTCCATCGTGGATCAGATTAAGAGCCATAAATGCAAGATGGTCATCTATGTGCTCAACTTTGCCAAGAGTAAGGTCCTCAAGGTAATGTCTGTCCAGCCCTATTCCCTAACTTTTGATACATATCATGGACCTTTCCAAAGCCAGACTGAAGGATCACAGACGGTGACACCACGTTCACATGGATAATGAGAATTCTGTGACTTTTATCACCTGTGTTTCATTATTCACTATACAGTAGGGCTGATGTCCGTAAAGCGAATGATATCACAGACAAGGGAAGGACACAAATACAGTGTGATTATCCGGTACATGATACAGACTTAAGTCATGTTGCCTCATGAATGATTGCCCTTAACAAAACTAGAGAGGGCGCTATCGTAACCTGGAACTACAAAATCTGTCTGCAGAGAAAGTTACAAGTTACCAGTGCTGTGAAATTTGGCCCTTTTGCAGCCTGGGCTAGTTCAGTGCTCACTTAGGTCCTTGTGAGAGCTTTGCCCAACTTTGCACAGTGCTGAAAAATGCACACTTTTCTCTCAGTTGACATGTTCGTGGTTTATCCTTTTTGTGCTTACATTTAGGAGAATTTCCTATGCAAAATGAATGCAATTCAGTTATATTTTGTCAGTTATTATTCTGTATAGCCACACTGTCGCCATGCCTGTGTTGGGCCTAACATGGTCGACATGAGCCGTAATTGCCATGGAACTGCTATGGTCGTTACTGACACTTCTTTATCTTCCACCTCGTCTTCATCCTATGCCTTTTTAGTCCTTTTTTATTCATCATTTCATTCAATCTGGGTAATCCCATCAGTTTTGTTTGAACCGCTCGCCCCAAGCTCTAGGGTCTCGTGAAAAGAAAACAATGAAGAAGTGTTCTGTTCGGAGCTGGGTGAAAAACCCCAGATGAGCATTCTGGGAAAAACCAACAGAATCAGGAAGGGACCCAAAAATCAATCCCCATGTTGGCTTGGGTGGGATTTGAACCCAGGGTCACCAAGAGGGAAGGCAAGGGAAGTAATCACTGCACCAACTGCACCACCCTGAACTTTTTTTTTTTTACTGTTGCTGTTAAAACCAGGTAGAGATATTTCAAACTCTACCTTATTTTATTTAGCTATATGATAGTCTGCCAGTGAAAATACATGTAAGGCTGCATTGCGTTGGAGGGTGTCATATCAGTTTGTGACTAAATTCTGAAGCTATTACCATCGGTGATTGTCAATGCTACTCACCAATCACAGAAACTGCACACGTTATGGCTTTGTCCAAATCAACTGGCTGCGGCAGGAATTACCACACCTACGTGTATTTGTACAAAGTGACTGATAAACCTCTAAGCACACTAAGCCATAACATGTTAACACAGAGAAGCATTTAATCACCTCATCCTGTGGAAACGACTGATGGTCTATACACAGATATGGAAGGAGCTGGATTCTCGCATCACGGATGCAGCCAACGAGGCCAGGGATAATGTCAAGTACCTCTACACTCTAGAGAAGTTCTGCGAACCACTCTATCACTCTGACCCAGTAAGTGAGGCTGACTTTGCCTTTTCATTATTAAAGTAGGTCACTCAAGAGACGCAGAATGATAATTTGTGTCATACATACCAGTAGGAAGGTACAATGTAAATCAACTGAGTCAAACTGAACTGTATTTAGAGGAGATTTAAAAGTTGGAATCACTAATTGGCCAAATGTGTTCTACTTTTCCAAGCTCAGATTGTAAAAGTTTCCATCCAGCCTGTTCTTTGCGGACAATTTCTTTCATTAGAAAAGTGGAGATGGAGGTGCCACATTTGTCCCACCAACGTTTTTGGTCCTGACAACGTGTACGTTAATTTTAATTACAGGTTTTTGCCCTTACCCGGTGTGTATTAATAAACACTGTATGCTCAGTGCTGGTCAGTGCTGGAGAGCTTGCGTAAAAATTTACAATCTTGCTCGGGTGGGACTCGAACCCACGACCTCCTGTTTACTAGTGCAGATGTCTTAACCACTTGACCACTGAGCTTGCCGGGGTCGGCTGGCCCATCTGAGTCTGATGTAGCAGCAGGTACTGCAATGTATTTTCAGGATGTGGTTTGTGTCGCGGAGGTGTTAAGTTTGAGTATACGTTGGGTAAGGGCAAAAACCTGTAATTAAACTGAACATCTCTCCGACGCAAAGATGAATGCTCCAATAAGCATGTAGATAGTCTCACGACAATGGAATAAGTATTGTTCATTCTTGGGTGCATTCACAAAGTGTTATGACGCATGTTTGTTTTTATTGATCAGCCATTCTGCTTGATTCCACAGTTACATAGAAGCTCTATGTGTTCGCCATGTTAACCAGCGAAGTTTAGTGACATGGCAATTCAGTGTGCCTCAAAATATTTATAAACAGTGTGCAACATGGATGCTAGCATTGTGCGTTGAATTGGTCCATAGTGTGCATTTGTTTAGGGCTTGTGACCAGAGTTAATTAATTATCTTCACAGGTTGGTATGGTTGATTGCATCCCTAGTTTGATCAATGCCATCCGCATGATCCACAGTATCTCCAGATACTACAACACCTCAGAGAGAATGACATCTTTATTCATTAAGGTATGTATTATCAAAAGTATGCATTTTAAAACAAAGATATTTCTGATGACCGAAATTGTACCTTTAGGTTAAAAAAATTTATTCTCGGGAATAAATACAAAAAAATTTGTTTCGGCAATAAAATAATGTTTGAGATTCAGGAGCCTGAAATGCACATGCAGTTGTTTGTGGGAGCATAAATCTTTCTAGACAGGTAAAATCACGGAGGCTGAGCCATATTTGAAATGATGTTTCTTCGATCATAACGTCATTGACGTCATTGCACAGATACTTTTCAGTTCCACATTGTTTTGTTTTCACAAAAGGACACACAAGTGCTGCATGTCTGTTCAGGATAGTTTTGTTTTCACCAGCTTGAATATGGCTTTGTCCGTGTTAGGTTTTTTTGTCAAATACTGCTGCTATATTTGACAAGTATTCTGCCAAGCCTTTTAAAGCTATTTCCAAAATTTACATTAACAACATGTTTGTATGTCAGTTCTCAAAAACCAAAATCTTAATATCACATGGTTGTGTGCGAGGTGATCATGCATCTTGGTATCAGTTTGTAAAACTAAAATTATTCATTGCTTGGTTTTCATGAAGTGCGCCCAAACGGCACTTGTACGTTAGTCGTTGAAGACAATGGTGATAAGAATTGGTGCAATTCTGTGGTTGTGTCATTGGTATAGGTGACCAACCAAATGGTGACGGCCTGCAAGAATTACATAACCAACGAAGGCATGAGCCGCATCTGGGATCAGCCCTACGAGGACCTCCTCCACAAGCTCCACGCCGCCACCAGACTGTACAAGGAGTACCAGAGAGGCTTCCAGAAGACCAAGAAGAAGATTGAGGAGATCGAGGGCGCCAGACCGTTCGACTTCTCCGAGATGTACATCTTTGGCAAGTTTGATGCCTTCTGCAAGAGGATTGACAAGGTGAAACCTGAGAAGCTCCATCATAGCCACACATTGGAAAGATTAGATAACTGAATGCAAAACCAACCAAACTAGAGCCTGACTAAACATTGAGGGTTAGTTTCACTTTAGGCCCTGTCCAAAACAGGCTTCCAGAGCTTCAGATACATGTACTGTGGGCTTGGAACAGAAATTTGCTAATCCCAGAAACCAGTTGCTTAGCAGAAAACTAGATTTATTAGCCTAAATGTCATAACGTGAGATATAACCTGTGACTGGTTCCCTGGCTGATATTTGTGAAGCAATTTACCAATGGGTAATTCCACTTGGCAGCTGCATGAACACAGTTCACTCCAGAAATCTCTGTAAGCGGACAGCCTCAAATGATGTCTTTCTCTGTGCTTTGTTCAGATCATTGAGATGCTGGGCACCATTGATACCTACTCCGTCCTGACCTCGTCCCGCATTGAAGGCATCGAGCCCATGGCCAACAAGTTCCTGAATATCTACTCGGGAATCAAGAAGAAGCCGTACGACGTGCTGGACCATCGCAAGGTGGACTTTGACAACGACTTTGAAGACTTCAAGATGAATATGTTTGACTTGCAGGTACAAACTCACTAAAAGTCTTGATACAAAAACAACATTCCTATTTATATGTATTCATTGTTCCACACTTAATCTCTTCATTATACAGCGTATTTGAACATATCTATATGAAATGTGCGCTTTATAAATGAATAAATTAAAATTAAATTGTAGAGGCTGGAGTCAAATTTCATGAAAAAAACAACAACTTGACCACAGGGCTTCCTAAAATTCTACAAGATCAACACAGTACAATGACGTGATAAAAGTGCACTGTTCTGTCTGGAAAGTTGTGTAATACACGTGCTTGTACAAAATGTACGTGAACCTTTAACTCAAAGAAATTAAAGCTGGCGCAGTTTCTTTTGTGCGAAGATTTGGAATAATTCATAGGTACATGTGTTGCATTTATTGTACATCTGAGGAGATAGTGTACTGTTCGGTTGGATGATTCTGGATTCCCCAGAGGTTGTTGGAACAGCAGAGTGATGTTAACTGATTGCTTTTTTGCCAAACCTGTTACAGTACGCTCTCCAAGAGTTTATAGACAGCAGCTTTGAGAGGATTACCTCTACGACTCAAGCCTTGGTCCTTCTGAAGAGGTAATGAACCAGCTCACTGGCACAAAATGACTAATAATGGGTCCACTCAAAGTGTCTTATACACTGGGCTGCCAAATGTATTTGTGGGCATGGGCTGTTGTGTTGGTCGTCAGCGGTGGCTTGATAGCCCAATGGAAAGTTAGTGTTGCAAATCTGTACGTTTTGGGACTGAAGTGATGTTTCTCTTGCACATTTCAGTTTATGGCTTTGTTGTTTTTATCCTTTGTCACTTTTGCTGAAGTTTTTGTGAAGCCTGGCAAGTCTCTTCCAAAAACTGAAATTTCATACTGCCGGGTTTAATTGAAAGTTGCGTGATGTATACCCGGTGGATTTTCAGATTTTCCATTTTTCAAAAGTCTTCAAACATACATAACTTCATTAACTGGACGTTTACACGCACATGAATGACTGTCTGGTGGCTACTCTGACAGACAACATCTATTGACGCCTGAGTATTTCAGCCAGGCCTGCTGCTTTGTAAAGAGAGCGCAGATTGTGAAGTGTTACGTAATTTTCTTTTGTTCCCGAAACTGGTACAGGATGCTGCTGGCGTCCAGATTAGCATATAGCGGTATTGTATCGCTCATCCCTGGAGCGCAGAGCGCTTTTTTCCCTGATGGTAATCCACTCGCCCTGAATGCCACAAACAGTGGTATTGTCATTCAAAACAATGATGGATTCCTCTACTATACAACTGAAAAAATGTTGTCAAATCCCAGCAGCTCGGCCTTTTGTTCCGAGTACGGTCTTTTGTCACAAGGCGCAGCTCTTTTGTCTGATTTTGGGGAGCCCGGCTATGCATATATTAACCCTAGGAGTCCGGTTCCGAAACCCCGGCAGCAAGTGGTTAAGATATTTTATTTCAATAGTACTATACTCATCACATGCATGTACCCTTGCTCATGTAGATTTGCAAGTCTGAAGATCCCTCAGCTGAACATTGAAGAGAAGCACTCTGTCATACTGCAGCACTATGGCACTGAGCTTGAAGGCATCAAAAAGGTAGCATCTTGTCAGTTAATGACTTTTGTATTGAGTTAGGAGAAATCTGTTTTGCAATATCAGTGATTGAGTTTTGGTTTCTTGCAAGACCTGGCCCAGGTTTGACTTCAGGCACTGATGTGGAGCTCCAGGCCCTGGAAATTTGATATAGTGAAGAAACTGTTTCCTCAGCGATAAAAAGGCTAGTAAGTCATGCAGGTCATGTTGGGTACACGTGGTATGCTTCTGTCTGTTGATTAGCAGGTAAATTTGGACGGGGAGACTTTACTTGTACTTGAAATCGGATCTTGAGCAAGGAGAGAGCTTAAGATTAAAAAAGCGTAAGGCGACGATTGTCTCAGTGATATTTCAGTTTGGACTGTCTGTCACAGTCAGATATCTGCAGG